TTCTGCCGCAATTTTATTTTCCTTATCTACGGGGGTGCTGAAAATAGATTGACAGTTTGAAAATTTGGTGCGTCTGGACGTGGAACAAAAGTTTAGGTAAGAATCCATTTTGCGGTTGCTAGCCCCGGGCAAACAAAAAGCATACCTAAAAAAGTATTGCAGTCCCGTTAATGAGTTAATAAGGTGCCACAGTACCTTACGCGAAACACTCAATTGTGTGCAATGAAGACTTGATTCAAGGCTGAATTTGAAATATATAAATTGCATAACGGCATAGAATATTCTCACGAAATTACAGCTTTCTGGTTCTTGAAATCACTTTTCATTACAAATAACTCCTGAAGTCTTCTCTTTACTGAAAATATATTCAGCTGTTCTTATAAGTAAGGCAGGCACAGTCCGAAGCCCAATTTAGGTGTATGAGTCTTGGCCCAAACTGTAAATATCCCTACAAAATTTCAGCTATTCTTTTTCGGCTAAATTTCGAGTTGGCAGGGTGCCATGGGAATTTTGACGTGTCCGTGTGTGTAACTCAGGCGAACCTGACTGAAATAAAAATTTTTAGTTCGCACATGCACTGGAATCGTCACTGCATGTTTTAGCTTTCTGTATTATCCGATCCCCGAAATCATCCCCTGCCAGGAAATCTACACTTCTTTTCTGCATTCTTATACGACGCTCACGCGAGAGTAAACATAGGTTTTGGAAAGAAAGGACAGCGCAAGGGTTTAGGTTTTGTCCCTAAAATTTCAGCTTCCTGGCTTTTTTCCGATTGCTGGGTTGAAAATGGGTGACGAAATATTCAAATTTCAGTGCTTCGCCATTCTTTTTTCTCGGACCCAGATAGACAGACGCGAATACATCAGTTTTACGAAAAAGTCTGCATTTATTGTACGGCCTCAAGACAATAATAATATCATCTTTCACAGAAGCCGTACACGGAGGACTTGAAGATGTAAAATAGTCGGCAATTTCACTCCACGGTAATCATGCTTACTGAAAGTTAGGGCATCAAGCAACACCACAATGTAATATTCCGTTAGCCAATGCTTTTTACTTATTATTTGCAGTAAATAATCGAAGACCTTGTCAAAATGAGTGCACATGTTAAACTGTAAAGCAGCGGTCATTCGTGTTTTTAACGATGTGATTGTTTTAAGTTTGCACAAAATGCATGACGGCTGCAGCAATCCTGACATGCGCCACTATTAATTTTTTGCAAAAACTTTAATCGCGAGGTCACAGTTACTTTGATCTTTGACTGTGCAGTTTATATTACGTGTACTGGTACTAATTAGTAACATTAGGCTTTAACCAAACTGACAAAATAAAAATGCATTACGAAGTAACAGCTAAGCTAACATGTGCGGCCATGGAGACGTGTGGGATTTACAATTCCAGAGAATTTTATTCGATGACACTTTTTCTCTTGCTCAATAAAGTTTCAAGAACCCCGGACCGCTTAAAAATGTCGTGAACTAGTTTCGTCGTTTCTTAGGTTGAAAATACATTTGTGCCCCTAATATAGTGAAGGGATCCATTTGAAAGACTGTATGAAATTTGTGTGAATAAGAAAAATGCAAAATGCTGAAAAAATTTGCCAGCAAGAACAATGGTGAGAAGTAATGTGACGCGGTGAAACAACAGTTTGTCAAAGCAGCAGAGTATTTTTTTCAGCATGTTTATGCGCATTAACGAAAATGCAATTTTGGTACTCTCTGGTAAAATTTTCTGCCCTCCATGGCTAACACTGCCGGTTTTTGATCTAATCGGTATGTGCGCATCACTTTGACTTTACTTCGCTGATAAAATATGAGAGCGTTTATCTCATCAGTTACGGGCAATTAGAAAAATTGGAAATTTACAACACGCCATATTTTCACGAGGAAACATTTGGTTACGAATCATTTGCATCTGAGATTAGCGCTCGCAGATTCCGAATGACGGGAGGCTCTCGTTGAGTGACTGTGTAAGTGGACTCTCATTCCTTTTTTGGTTTCGAACATCCTCGTGCACACTGGTGATATGCATTTCACTGAGTGAGTTTTGTTATGAGTTTGTCTGTGATGATCAAGATGAGCTCGTGTTGCAAATGACCGATAACAACCGTAAAATGGACATCGATGCTGGCCTAAACACGAATGGAAGCTTTAATGGTGCATGAAAATCCAAGTAAAAAGAAAAACCTTTTAAAAATCTCTTGTTTGCTGCAGATTCATGTATTTTCGTATAATTTATGTAGGACACGTTACAGCAAAATCATTTACGCTTGTTCCTTTGATATGTCTGTGAGCGTCTGTATGGGTGTATCTGTACGTGTGCGCGTGTAAATGTTTTTGTGCTCGTTTGTGTGTGCGCATCTGCATGTGTGTGTGTGTAGATGAAAATTTTAGTTTATGAAAGTGTTTCAAGATACATTGTCTTCATTTGTCAAATAGACAAGTTCTTACGACGCAAAAGCAAGTAGATTGAAGTGCACCGCAAGAAATATGCTGCTACTGTCAGGCTGAAAATAAGTCTGTGTGCTATTCCCGTCATTTTAAATTTAGCTTTCTAGACCTCAGTCACGAATACGTGAAACGTCTAGGAGTGAAGCTTTCTAACTGAGCAACTGGGCAAAATAGAAGGCTAAAATTTTAAAAGGATGTTTGCTGTTCATGTGTAGACGTACACATTCAAATTCTGTTACTACTTACTCTCAAATCTTACCGTCACATGAAACTTCACATGGGAAACTTTCTAGCTTGGGAATCGAACAATAAAGAAAACTGAAATTTTGGGAGGATGTTCCCTGCACTTGGAATATTAGCAGGGACTCTACGTGTTTCCATATCTCATACACGGATGTGCAAAAGTCTAGGAGCACTTTTCTTGATCTGCTGAACAGATATGTGATCTCACAGTTTACTTGGTGTTCGCAGTCATATACATGGTTATACAGCCATTTACATGGTGGGAAAGCAGAAATGTCCAATGGATCTAAGCCTTCCACATTTTGTTGCACTGATTCAGCTGTGGGTAGCTTATTAGAAGAGAATGGGTCCGGAGATAGGTTTTGAGACGATTTATAAAAAGTATATTTCTTTTACCGCCTTTCCTGTGAACAGTGTTACGATGTAATCTAAGCGAGGTGTCCGACAAGAAACGCTGATAGCAGTCCATGCCCGAAATACACTCAGTTCAGGAACAGTTGCTAAATGCCCGAAGTAATGTTGGTCAAGCATCGGGGAATCTGTGAAATTCTCACTATTCTGATTGTGGCTCTCAAGGTGAACCCGTTAGTTCATAAACGAACCTGGGCAGTATCTGGATCCAAAGAAACCACACTGATATTTGGCTGCATCAGACTGACCCGGTGATTCCACCTCATGTTTGGAAATTCCAGTCCTTAGTCCTGGAGCCGGAATAGTATCTGTCTGCGGGGCAGCAAACATACCGGTTGAATTCGAATTCAACAGCTCGCTGACTATTCGTCTGTTGATTAATTCCGGTTCAATTTGAAACTTTCCAGCTTTCAATGTTTGATTTCTGGATTGGGCTTCAGACGAGGTAGGCCTATAGAGAAAGAAATTTCCCGCTTTGTAGGATGTCGAGGGACATGAATAATCGGGTGTTGACTTTTTTGCTGTCGGGATGTTTAAAGCTTGGACGGAGTTTGCTCGCTCCATTTCAGCCCTGATTTTTTCAGTGATTAATCTCGAGTCGATCTTGTAGACATCGGCTTCTGGAGTAAGATTTTTGGGCTCAGCATCAGCGCAAATAGATTCGCGTATGGTAATATATTCCTCGATTTCAGAAATTATTGAGGAAGAACTGTCCGAATCAATTCCCTCCGATTGTTGAAAACTTTGATGATTGGGGATATGAATAATATCGTACACCAATCCTTGTTGATAAACTGCGTGTGGTATATCGAAATCCACTTCGTTTGCTAGAGAGTCAAAATCATCGAGATAACTGGCAGCTGCTAATATATTCTGAAGCCAATCACCATCGTATTCAGGCTCTGGAAGGTGCATCGAAATCGTTTTATTCTCAGCTGCTGCCAAAGGAATATTTACTAGTAAAAGACAGGTCCAGAATAGCAACGCAGGCATCGGGAAGGATTTACGCTTCAAATGGCAGTTTGTGGCTAAACTGAACGTGTGTGTAGAAGTGCAAGTATCTGTCTGTATATGGTAATGTAAGCTGCTTTGTACCTCTGCATATTTAATTAGTGAGATTATTGGGCGCAGCAAATTCCTGCAATGCTTGAAGCAGCATTCGCAGCTTAATTTAACAATCACAGTATGGTATGTTATTATTATTTTCAGTTATTATTATCCTAATCATTATTGTTGTTACTATTACGATCACCACTGCTATTACTATTACTATCATAAAACGGGGAAAAAGCAATGAAAAAATAACCCAGGCTGGAACGCACCGTGCGGGCCGGTGCCATCGTTTGTTTCTGCACCAAACTTGAAGTACTCAGGTCACTAACTGCTTGAATGAATGTTGCTTTACATATGCCTTTTGCGGTCATAAGCATAATTCACCATAAATTTTGCATAAAGTTAATGCACATTTAACGATCATTCTTTAAAACTAACCTAGCTGTTCAGTAAGAAATTTTTCCGCCAAAACTTTCATATGCCCTTATGTGAGCACTACGCATACCTGGGGACTGAATTTGAAATCTTTAGCTAATACATGCACAGGGAATATTCCTACAAAGTTTCAGCCCCTTAACTTGTCTGGTTCTCGAGGTCGTTTCACCGCCAAAAATTTGCATATTTCTTTAAAGAGTCCGTACGCGGCACCCAGGTGTCCATGGACGATGATACTAAAACGGAAGGTGGCGTATGGCATGGGCACTTAATTCCAAAGTTTCAGTATTCTAGCCTTTCTGGTTCTCGAGTTGAAAGTGGGTGACAAAAAGCGCGAGCACACAGACACGCGCACACACATACACACACAGATAGCTTCTTCCCAATATGCGTTTTTGCAATTTGCGTAAATGCAAAAACGCATAAAAATTAATCAAAGTGTTAGGGTATACGCATCAACAATTTTCTTCACCGTTTCTCGCTGATAGTCGGCAACGCAAGCACATTTCTATCGCTGATACGATCAAAAGATCGGCTTTATGAAACTGCCTGGGTGGGAAAACACGGAATGAAGAAGTAGCCAATTGCACCGATGGCGAGAGGCAATGCTACGCCAAGAAACAGCAGTTTATCAAAACAAAAGAGTATTTTTGAGCAAATTTGCATGCTTTAACATTGAATATATAGTTC